TCCCCCCCAGCGAGGAGACCCGAGCTCCTCCCATTGAGCCTCGAGCTCTTCCTAAGAAGGGAACACCCCGGCCTACGGCTAAGTATCCTAAAGTGGAAACACTTCAGGTCAGCACCATTAACACTCCTGTCCATACTTGCCTAAGGCCCGCCTCAAGCATAAGCACCTCGGCACACCCCCAGCACCTCGATGTAAGGTAGCTTGACCCAAGGTAGCTCGGTGCAAAGTAGCTCAGCAACCTGCATGAAAGATCTACCTAACAATAGTACCTACCGAATCTGGAGGTTGCGCCCACGTCTCTCGTCAGGCGGCGTCGTTCTTGCCATTTCTGAAAGATGTGGCACGCCTGATAGGTCTGTACCCTGCAACGGCTGCCTGTGCCCGCTACCTCAGCTCTAGCAGTAATGGCTGCGACAGAGGCGGTTACGCCTAATTTGACAGAACTCCAATATAAAAGGACCTCGATCCCCAAGGAGCAAATGTAACTGAACTTGCGCCATCTGCACTCTTAGCTCTCTCTTTGCATTCTCTACAGTTCTCTCAAAGTTCTAACTTAAGCATCAGAGTCTTCCCACCAGGCAAGCTCCCCTAGAATTCTTCACCTCCCTCTTCTTCTCAGGTCCCATCTGTCGCTAGCTAGGAGCCAGGTTCCAGCCAGCTAGGAGTGTCTGGATCGCGCTGCATCAAGAAGTGATAGAGATCCTTTGGTGAAGATGAACAATTAATTGATGGGTCAGCAATAGTAGGTAGTATGCAAGTAAGGGTGTGAATGGACCGGTTTTTTATTGGATTCCATCTAGTTCAAAATCAATTTGGACGGATTGGATGGATCAACAAGATATATTGGATTGGACCAATCCGATCCAAAATATTTATAAGATTGGATTGGACTTATTCCATCCATAACAAATTTATATTGGATTGGGTTGGATTAAGTTAATATTTGGTCCAATATTGATATAAGATAAGAATATATGTGTCAATGGACTGGGTTTGGGTTGAAACCAATGTAAATCAAAATGAATTTGAACAAATTGGACGGTCCAGACACTGAATTGGATCGGTCCAAATTGGTCCAAAACATTCATTGAATTGGATTGAACCTGGTCCATTTATAATGGACTCATGATGGACTGGATCCGATTGGACTCAATCCAGTCCTCCCCTACAAGGCACTGAAACCAGGCCTGGGGTGCTTGTTTTAACCGATAAAGAGATGAGTGACACATAATTTGAAAAAATGAGAGTCAACAAACCCTTTGGAGCTAACACACGTATACCTCCTTCGTGAGAACCCCATGGAGGAAAGTAGGGTTGTTCACGGGTCGGGTTGGATCGGTTTACTGAGGTTTTTCCAACCGACCCGACTTGGTTGGGTTACTTGAGATGGAAACCGAAACCGAAACCGACCCAGTGTTAAGAAAAACTGACCTGGTCGGTTTGGGTCGGTTTCGGCTCTAAGTTCATCCATGCCCCCCATGGCCACCTAATTTTTTGGAAATATATTTAAAACTGAAATATGTATTTTAGAAATATATATATATATATATATAAACAAAAATATACATACAAATATATTGGAATATATATTTTTTAGAAATATATATCTGACATATTCCATAATATATACTTTTTAGATATAGATATTGGAATATATATTTTCAGATATTTCAGTTTTTAGTTAAGTAGGAACTAAATCGATTCGATTTGGATCGGTTTCGATTTTCACACAAGAAAAATGAAACCGACCCAAACCATCGATTTATGAATTTGTACAATCCGAAACCGACTGATGCTGATGAAAACCCGGCCGACTCAAGTTAAGTCGGTCCGGATTGGTCGGTTTGATCGGATTGGGCCTTCTTATTAACAGCCCTAGAGGAAAGCATTGTGAAATGTGAACATATAGTTGTTTGATGGGCCACCTTTGTGATGGTGCGTGTGCACGAGGGAGAGAATACAGCTTATAGTTGTATGCTTCACAACTAGGTTAAAAGTGTTGGTATATATTATCCGAGTTCGGATCTCCTGCACATGCTCTCTTACATACCTTCCTGCACTGCCAATCATATAATCATATAGGACACCACATCAACATTAAATCATCATGTGTACATCTCACCTCACATGTACCAGTATTTAATCATGTCTTTCTCTTATGAACCAACTTCTCTTATCTATTATCTCTATTTTCTTTTACAAATTTTCATTTGCCGGTATTCACTTTATTATTTGTCTCCACCGGTGATTCGCTGGTATTCACATGATGCACATGCAATGTTAAAAACGATTGAACCAAAGCAGAATCCTTATCTCGATTGGGTCAGTTTTCCCCCCTTTTTCATTTATTTAACTTTAAAAAATAAATCTAGAAAGAAAAGAAAAATAGAGTTCAAGCAATAATAGAGAAAATAACAAAGAGTAAAGAGACAGGAAGACAGGTTTCAACTTCCTCTCCCATTTCCGTCACTGATCAAAACAAAATGGGAGTGGATTGGCACGGGTTATTGCTCTTTGTTTGACGTTTTAGGTTTCATTGGAAACCACTCTTTGAGAAGGATTGAGATTGAAGCCCTTCGACTTCACAGTCTCCTCTGATACTATCTTATACTAGCCCTTCACACCCTTCATACCATTTTAGAGACAGGGAGAGATCTCTCTGTCTACAGAGCCAATGTCTCCTTCATAACAAAAAAAAAAAAGAAAAAAGGGTTAAGACGGCTGTTAATTATTCTTGTACTGTTGCACATGTGAGATATATATACAAGATGCGCACTGCTATTGAGAGTACAGAGAACTGTGCAGGATATTATGTACAGGAGATCCGGACTCAATCCACACCAGCTGGTTGTTGAGAGAATCCACACACCATGAGACGGGCTTTGTAGTGTTCTATTTACCATTATCTAGCCTATCATTTGGTCTTGAATATCTATTTAAGTCATCGATATTCATGTCACTAAGCATGGAAACAAGAACCAACCGAGTGGTGGCTCGTTGGCACGTAACTGGGTAAGCCCCAGACGCAATATGATTTTAAGTCCCGCTACTAACGGTTCTAAATTCATCTTTGAGAAGAGTGTAATATTGCTAGATAAAATTTGCAGTACTATATCATGAAAATTCAACAAACATGCCAAAGTCTTTTATGGCTGAGTATGGGTAATAGAACATGTCATGTGCAGGAAGCTGGAAAACAATACAGGCTGTTCTTTCCAAATAGCTAAAGCTTTTCCACGAGGAATTCAAGTTAGCTGAATACCATAGCTGTATAGACCCTACGTCAGCCATAAATTTTAAGTGAGACAGAATTATTGTGGGCCGCCATAAGTCTTTTATGACTGAAGTGGGACATTGTTTGCACAGCCTGCTACACAATTATTGCGTTCAGCTAGTCTAATTTCTTACAAGTTTCCAACCATGAGAGTGAATTATATAAGAACTGAAATAATATAAATATATATATATATATATATATATGTATTTTCACATTTTTTAATATAAAAGATTTAAAAACTTAGTAACTTTTCAAATAGACCAACAACCAATTATCCAACAAACTAGTTAGAAGTTTTAAAAGAGACAAGAACAGCTCCACAAATTGATTTACATATTTCTTACAATAAGATGACAAAAAGCAAATCTTTTGTTTTGGCTCTCTTGAAAATGGTCTATCTTGCCCAAAGAAAGAAATTGATATGATTTATTTATTTTTTTCTCCCACCCCACCTTTGTTTATAAAGAGAAGGGGTCTATATATTGACTACTATATACCTACCATCTCAATAGCCTTTTACTGGTCCATTATGATTCTAATTAATTAATTTCATTGTCCATATAATAAGGAAAGTAGCTAGGTACTCCACCAGTCCATCATCTAGACACGATTCCAGTCTAACACTCAATAATGACTCTGTTGGCTAGAGAACAAGCAATCTGGAGGCCGCATTTAGCTAGACATGGTCACATGTTTACCAAAACACTCTAAAATAGTAATCTCCTTATAATTGAAAGGGTAATATCTCCTTCTAAGACGGTAATTTTCAACCTTATGTGCAAATATTTGAGATCAAATCAGTCCCCACACAAGACTGTCCCCCACAATGAGAACATCTCAGGATGATGATATCATTATTTTTGGTATTATCATCGGGAGACATTTCCAATACACAGGAGGGATATGTTGTGAGACATTGTGGGCGGCAGACTTGTGGGGGGTTGATTTGAACTCAAAAAATTTATGAATCCAGGTTTCCTACTCACAAGAACCTTATCCACAGGACACTACAGTAAATTTAAAACAACTCTCCCATGAATGGTAATCTGTAAATAGTGGAGATGTTTCTAATGTGCAGTTGTAGTGATGTATGGGTAAGGTTTTTGTGGGTAGAAGATCCAAGTTGATGAAAATTTACACCTCAAAGTGATGGGTTGTATGACAATGCATCTTCTTCATCTTCTTCATCCTACATATATATAATTTACAAACGCAAAGTTTGCGATGGTATGATATTGTGTTGAGTTGACCATTGGCAAATGAGAAATCATTGGTGCTTTAAGAATTGGATTCGGAAGATTCTAGCTAAAATGGTGTGGTAAGGGTTCTGTTCCTTTTAATTACTCTGTGGCATATATGGGAAGAGATAAGGTTGTTGAAGCTGAAGGTGGGGTCCAAGAGATAAACAATGAACTGGGTTAAACTGCAATACTTTATTAGATCCAACTGTGCTGTAAATATATACAGGTTACAGACGTGTTAAACTATACATACAAGATTAGGCTTATCTCTAAGGGGAGATAACAACAACAGATAAGGGCAAGATTATCTTATCCCACAAAGTTCGGCTTATCTCGAAGAGGAGATAAACATGCACGTCGGTTGGCTGTTGTTCCGATGTTGTCGCACCATAATACAGGAGGAGAGGAGAGGAGAGTGGAATGCCAATTTCATGAAGAAGCATTTGGAGCCACGTGAGTTCAGCAGCGAGAATGGCAAGGGATCAGTATTTTGCTTCCGTGCTAAACCTAGAGATGGTAGAGTGCTTCGTTGATGACCAAGAGATAAGATTGCTCCCAAGGAATACATAGAAACCACCATGGGAGCGTCTATCCACATGATAGCTAGCCCAATCCAAATCACTGAAGCCATAGAGTTGCATGGAGGATGATCGTGTGAATGTAATACCAAGAGAGGGCGTATGTTTAACATAGCGTAAGATACGCTTAACGGCTGCCCAGTGAGCATTAGAGGGATTGGCCACGAATTGAGACACCTTATTATTAACAAGGAAGGAGAGGTCTGGGCGAGTCACCATGAGGTACTGAAGTGCCCCTACCACCTGTCTGTTTAAAGAGGGATCAGCAAAGAGGTCAGTGGAGTCTGAGACCAATTGAGTGTTGGCAGCCATGGGAGTTGAACAGGGCTTAGCATCCAGCATGTTGGTGCGTTTGAGAAGTCCCAAAGCATAATTCTGTTGAGATAAGTGAAGACCACCAGCAATGGATAGACATTCGATCCCCAAGAAATAACTAAGAGAGCCAAGGTCCCGAAGAGAAAAACTAGAGGAGATAAGAGATAATATCAGCCACCACGTCAGATGTAGAACCGGTGACGATAATGTCATCAATGTAGACCAAAACAAGTGCAACTGTAGAATGAGTGTGAAGAATAAATAATGAGGCATCAGCCTTGGATTCCATGAAGCCAAAAAGAAGAAGACAATCCCATAGCCGTTGAAACCAAGTATGTGGGGTCTGCTTGAGGCCATAAATGGAACAATGTAACCGGCATACATGTGAAGGTCGTGAAGGATCAACAAAGCCTGGAGGTTGGGCCATGTAGACTTCTTCAGAAATATTACCATGAAGGAATGCATTGCTGATGTCAAACTGGCGAATGGACAGACTGTGAGACGGCAAGTGAGAAGATGACTTGTACAGTGGCTGGTTTAACAACCGGGCTGAAGGTCTCATCAAAATCAACACCTTCTTGCTAGTGGAATCCTTTGGCAACTAGACGGGCAAGCAATGTAAGAGAAGTATAAACGGCTTCATGCCATAGAGAACGTGGAAAGTTGGCATGGTCAAGCAATGTAAGAGCAGTATCAACAATGTGACAATGCTTTCGTTCCGGAACCCCATTCTGAGCATGAGTGTGGGGACATCTGAAGCAATGAACAATGCCAGCCTCAACAAGATAGTTTTTAAATTTCTTAAATTCACCACCTTCATCAGATTGAAAATTTTTGATAGAATGACCCAATAGTTTCTCAATCATGGTACAGAAGGCGATGAAAATAGATAGTGCATCAGATTTAGCATGAATGGGAAACAACCAAGTAAAACGACTAAATGCATCAACAAAGATAATATAATATCGATGTCCATTATCAGAAACTAATGGGGCTGGTCCCCATATATCAGAATAAACTAAATGTAATGGCTCTGTAATAGTAGTAGAAGAAGTTGGTAAGGAAGACTATGAGCTTTGCCACGAAGACAAGAGGAACACATAGGTAAGCTGCCCTTCGAACTGATGGAGATATGTTTATGATGAGCCAACTGCTGAAGTACACCTTCATGTGGATGTCCAAGCCTATAGTGCCAGTCAAGGAGAGAAGTTCGAGTGCCCATCATAGCCACAAGTCGTCCATTATTAGGAGGCCTTATTGGAAGTAACTGAAGATACATCAAGGTGGTATAAACCATCCTTAAGCTACGTGGAAGCGAGTGGGGTCCTCTGGTGTTTGTCCTTCACAGTAAACCCAAAATCAGTAAATTCAAACACAACATCATTGTCATGGCAAAATTGTCGAACAAATAAGAGGTTTTTGGTTATGGCAGGGACATGAAGGATGTTCTTTAAATGAAAAGAACAAATGGGTGTATGCAGAACAGTATTTCCAATATGATAAATATCCAAACTTGTGTCGTTCCCAACGGCTATTTTGTCATTGCCATGATAAGGATTGTGAATGGAGAGATTGCTCAAGTCAGATGTGAGATGATGAGTTCCGCCCATGTCAGGATACCAATCATTATCTGTAGTATCAATTGTGTGAGTTGCAGATAAGGCCTTTGAGTTGGTAGGTGAATTTGAGGCCTGAAAGGCGAGATCAAATCGATGGAAGCAAGAAAGAGCTGAGTGTCCTATTTTTCCACAAACTTGGCATGTCACTTTTGGTGAAGAAGAGCCAAATCCAAGTGCATTAGGAGAGCGATCGCGACCTCTTCCCCGACCGCGACCACGAGTATTAGAGAAAGGTCTGTCCTGTGGCTGTTGAGATTTGTGCATAGCAGTATTGGCTTGGGGAGTAATGTCTGAACATGAGGATTGACGTTCAAGGCGAAGTCCATGTTGGAGTAAAATACCATGCAACTCATCAATGGATATTTCATCAGTTTTAGTAGTGATAGCAGTGACTAATGAGTCATATTCAGAGCTAAGTCCACCAATAGTGTAAAGAATGATATCATCAATATGTAAGGGATGCCCAACAGTGGCTAAGGAATCACTAAGAGATTTCACCTTGTGGAAGTTATCAGTCATTGATTTGGATCCTTTGTTTAGGTGATGTAGATCATGTTTAATCTGCATTAGACGAGCACGTGATGGAGAAGCATAGACACGACACAGGGTACTCCAAGCTTCATGAGAAGTACTGCAACCAACCACAGTGGCGAGAGCTTCTTCCTTTAGAGCTGTGAGAAGCCAACTCAGTAGCGGTTTGTCTTGAGTGCGCCAGTTGAGATAGTCAAGATTGATTGAAGAGGTAACAACACCATCTTTCTTAGTGGTGACATTCATTGGTGGACAAGGGACCGATCCATCAAGGTAACCAAAGAGGTGAAGGCCTTCTAGCAATTGTTGGTATTGGGCCCTCCAGAGAAGAAAGTTGTGCTTGTCTAATTTCACTAATATCAGGTTGGAGAGATTACCAAAGGGAGATTGAGCAGAAGAAACAGAGGAGGAAGAGGAGGAAAAAGTGAACGCCATTTTTGGTTTTTAATGGCTCTGATACCAAGATAAACAAAGAACTAGGTTAAACTGCAATACTTTATTAGATCCAACTATGTTGTAAATATATACATGTTACAAACATGTTAAACTATGGCCCATGGGCCGCCACGGGCTGTGCCATCCTCCCCAGTGGAAATTTTGGGTGTCGGCCCAGCACGGCCCACAACCTAGGCCCAAGCGAGCCCGTGCCATGCCGTGCCAGCACGCAGGCCTGGGCCGGGCTGGGCCTTGGGCCTAGGCCAAACTGGGCTGCACTATTTTTTTTATTTTTTACTTTTTTTTTCAAATTTTTGATTTCTTTTCTAAGTAAAATTGTAAAATAAAAATATTTAACTTTCCTATGAACTTTGAAAATTAGGAACTATTTAAAAAATTAAGAAATGAGAAATCTAAGTTATTTAATACATAAATGAAAAAAAAATACTTAACCAAATTGAAATAAGAATGATGAAATAACAAATTGGAAGAAAAATAGGAATTTTATTTCATTTAAATTTGAATGGTACAAATTAGTGAATTACAAATACAATGATTGGATCATTGCATACTTGGATGAATGAAATATAAAAATAAAATAAATTAATAAAATATAAAAAATACAATATGGTTACAAATTGAAAATACAAAATTACATTGTTAAAAAATTAAAAAAATATATCAAATAAATTAAATAACATTTAAAAATTTTACAATAATTTGAAAAAATGAAAAATTCTACAAGTAGTCAAATTCATGAATTATCCATCATTCATGACTTTCATCATCTGCTTCGGGTGAAATGTGTGGTGTTGTATCATACCCTCCCTTGTCTTGTAATCTATCTTCTGCATCTAGCCAATCCTTGAAGTAGATGCACATCTCTATGCTCTCATCGTTCATGCAGCTTCTTTTGTCATCCAGCACCCTTGTACCTGCACTAAAACAAAACTCCAATGGAATTATAGACACCGGAGGGGTTAGTAGATCATGTGTCATGGTGGCGAAAACCGGATAATTTTTCGAGTGTTCACTCCACCAGGCTAAAATATCAAAATTATTTGATACTTCACCTAAATTAGAAAAAAATTGCTTGCAAATAAAAATTAAGTTCAGTAAATGAACTTGTTGTAGAACTAGCAGATTTCTGTCATCTACTTATTAAATAAAAAGGCTTTTCTCTTCTACTACTGGCTTCAAAGTCAAAAGGAGAAGAAGAAGAAGGTGAACAAGTTGTAGGAGTATTTTCTACAACTTCAGATTCATACAAACTGTACATTTCAAATAATAAGTTATTAATTTCTTCTTTTTTATTTCCTATATCAATATTCATATTTTCATAATATGTTTTAAGTAAAATATCTAAACCATCTTTCCTAATCCTAGGGTCTAATATTGTAGCTAAACAATAAAGGGGAGAAATGTTCTCCCAATATTTTTWAAWTTTATTTTCYATWATTYCAAYAATACATTGAAATTGTGGATTATTTCTATATTTGGCAAAACAATCACTAATTACCATTAATTGATACGGTAAATTACAACTACTTGGATAATAAATTCCAGATAATTCATTTGTTGCATCATAAAAATGTTTTAAAAAATCTCTTATAGAGACTGCCATTCCCAATCATCCTCAAATATCATATCATTAAGCATTTTTAAATTATAAAAATTAGAAAGAATTTTTTATGAGATATACAACTTTCTAACATAGCATAGGTAGAATTCCACCTATGCTTTACTTCTAATATAAAATGTTTATATTTTAAACCATAATTTTGGCATAAATATTTAAATTCTTGTTTTCTTGCYCCTAAACTTTTTATATATATAATACAATTTCTAATTTTTGAAAT